AGTACCCGTACCACTTTTTTGGTTCTTGGACTACCTATTTAGGTAGTCCAAGAACCAAAAAAGTGGTACGGTACCAAAAATCGAGCGTAGTGTAAACGGGGCTTAATTTTGCTAGGTTTTTGAAACGAAAAAAGTGGTACGGATACCAATTTTATCCGTGCCGTACCAAAAATCGAGCGTAGTGTAAACGGGGCTTAAGACACCAATTACGGAAGGCGTAATTACTAATTAGTTATTATTTAGTGTACTATTTAATTTGTTACATTCTATAAAATCCATAATCAGCTATAAATCAAAGCTACTTTCATTATTGGTACATGCATTATTTTAATCCGTTTTCAAACGTTTTTTGCACACTATGATATGTACTTATTATATTGTTCAATGGTTTAATAAATTTTCGAAATTTCTAGTGGAAATTATATACAACTTTATTAATAACAACGTTAGTTCTGACCAGTAAGTTGTTGCGCAAAATTGACATTTATAAGGCCAGGAATCTCGTGAAATGACCAAAATTCTGAAACTTGTTATATTTCGACGAAATCCCTAATGAGTATTGATTGTCAAAACATCAGCCACCATAAAGGCGGTTTTCCGGTCCTCGCACGAAGCTCCTCGCAGCTCGCTGCGAGTGATGCATGAGCACTTTCATCCAATCACAATGCTAAACAGTTCATTTTAATTAGATGCAAGCACTCGCAGCGAGCTGCGAGGAGCTTCGTGCGAGGACTGGAAACCCGCCTTAACACAAGAATATACGCTCAAGTTTGATTTTGCCGAATTCGTTTTGACATGCAGTTTTAGTTATTGGATTTTGCACTTATTTAGGTTTACACGTCTCCAGCTAGCAGATTTATTGTTCAAATAAGAATAAGGCTATTTCTGTATTTTAACCATGTTATTATACTGTATTGTTTAACTTATGTAACGCGTTAAACATGCTGTGCTTTTATAATTTGTTATAAAAGATTTCTCCCTTGGTACTGGGGATTCATTTCCTGTGAAGATTTAACGCCATTTGTTCAAAATGATTCATGCTAATATCGTAATGAATGTTTTGAAATACCTCTGTCATAATACGCAGAGCTATACGAAGCGAAGAATTGAAAATTTGGAATACTAGTTTAGACCCTATAGAAAGCTCGAAAATGAAATGCAACTAAAGTTAATTTGGTAGTGTCAGCTTGCATCCACAATTTGCATTCACGTTATAGGCTGTCAATACTCTTATAACTTGTCTAAAAATTAGCTTATATTACCCGGCGAAATTTGCGAACGGGCGTACTCTGTACAGTCTGCCACACGAAATCATTATGGCCTGTGGACGTTATAGGTACGAAAAACCAATCGATAATCACAAATTTTATAATGACGATTTATCAGTGTTATATAAGGGAGTGCAAGAGAAATTAACTACAAACATAAAATTATTGCTTTATTCAATAAATTATTTTATTATGCAGTTGATAAGGAAACTACATGAAATAAGTGTGTAGCCGAGTTGGATCTAAAATCTGTTTCACATTCAGTGGTGGACTTTTAACGTTCAATAAAATGCTAAGACAGCCGAGCTGTATGTGTGCTGACGAACAGAAAAGCTGTAACTAGCCCACATAAGCAATGAAACTGTGCATTTACTGAACAGATTTTCCCCCCATGCTGATAAATATGAATTTAAATATAGTTACAGCATATCTCCATTATTTCATGCGATATGTTATGACGTTGGTAAATGTCAATCATTTATAATATCAATGTCATGTGTTTGATATTAATGAATTTTCTGGAGACTGTAAAAACATAGTTATGTCAACCTATGTGTAAGATTCCTTATCAGAAATGACAGATAACTTCGTATCCTTGGTCGGGTATTTGGAAAATGGTTCTGGAATAAGCTAGAAAGATTTGAGATACTTTGATCTCTTACTCTTTTGACATTCTTTAATTGAACACAATTGCCCAAAGTCAATATTTGTCCATGGAAGTAATCTGATATCATAGCTTGATTAGTTTGAAAGTTGTCAGGCTGAAACAAGTAGTTGCGATGATTATTGAAAGATTAATTATTTTACCGCATTTACATAATCGAAAAGACGTGTATTGCGATACAACAATCATGTAGGGTATTGAACCCAATCGTGCAAGTCCTAAACCTCAGCTGTCTTGCATGAATTTCTAGAAGCAAACAGCGGAATTGAATTTTTCATATAATGTTCAAATCATGCTCATGCCCCATGTATAATTTTTAAATTACTACTGAAAAAAAATAGCAGCAATCAGTTATGAATTTTAAGAGAGACGTCTTTTGAAACACAATTACATATCGTACGAAGTCTGAAATGGTATGCGAAAATATTATTAATCTTTTTGTGCATGTCCCGTCCAAGAGCCCATGAACATTCATTTGATTGACATTCATTGATTTGACAGTCAGCGGCTTTCCACCGGAGAGAGTTGAATGGTATAATCCAGATAAAAGTTTAGCATTTCTAAAATTTAAGGGTTATAGTCGATTTTACGAAACGTAACTTCGTTACGATGTTCGCAAGTTCGTTGCGAAGTTCAAAAGTCCATAATGTGATTCACAAACTAATTTGTAAACTACGCATTTGATTGGCTTCTTTTACTTCAGTGACCAATCAGGGACTTTGTTTACAAATTGGCTTGTGAATTCCAATATGAACTTCCGAACTTCGCAACGAACTTGCGAACTTCGTAACGATGTTCGGAACATTTGTGGTCAAAGTTTCGTGAAATCGACTGTAAAATTTCACTATTGACCGTCTTCGTGAAATCGGCTTGTATAATTAATATGATATGATTGTCAGTGTTAATAGACTGACATGAATGGGCATAGTCAAGCTAACATATTTATACTTTCGCTTTCATTTCATTTCAGGATCCATTTGACGCTGAGAATGAGCGCCAATATGGATTGTCACATGACAACCCTCATGCTGTCAAGACAACAACCAATGTCGTAATTCTACCATCCATTAATAAGTGGAACTGTTTCAGTGTCCGTGATCGACGGACTGTCGACGTCATTGGATCACGTGATAACATGAACACAGCCACTTCCGTCAGCCCCACGTCGGCGTTGGAGATAAACCATTTATTTAGTGAAAAGGTGACGGATTATCCTGCCCAGGCAAGCAGATCGAGTGCAAATGATCTCACGAGGAACAACAGCGATTACCGTAGGTTGACGTTACGAGAGAAGCTTGCGAAACAACGTTCTGAAAGAGGAAAGGACGATGGCAATACTGAAGAACCTCGTCGTTTAACAAAGGCAACAAGTTTAGGAGGTGCATCAACTACTACAACAAATTATTACCGACCGACGGTTAGGAGCCAATCTAATGACGCTAGGAACGATAATAGTTCTGAAGAACCTCGTCGTTTAGCAAAAGCAACAAGTCTAGGAGGTGCCCCGACTCCGCCAACAAACTCTCGCAGACCGGCAACTAGGAGCCAGTCTAATAGTTCAATTACGGAAGAAAAAACAGTGTTTGGTTTCAAGATAATGAAAGGATTACCGGGTAGTTCAGACTCACGAAATAATAACAGTACTGCTTTTACTCGACATGGAAGTTCTAGACAGCCTGGTAGGACAACCAACTATAGCACTGTTAACAGATTTAGGGATAAAACAGGCAATACATTGTTTTACGCACCAATGAACAACCGAACATCTGAAACGACGAACACGTCTGAGGAGACAACAGAACCTGCAGAAATTAGAGATAGCTTGAAAGATAAGGGAAACTCTTTAAGTAGTGATAAGAACATCGAATCGATGGCGAATCAGAAGAGTTCTGGAGATGTGGATAAGAAATCTTCCGATACGGTGGAAAAATCAGATAAAGATAGCTCTAATATGGTTAATACAACAGTCTTGAATATTGGTGCTAAAGGAGCAAGAAATATTTATGTCATGGGTGCTAGGAAAAAATCTGATAAACTTGGAAATATTGATACGAAAGTTGACAGTAAAGACAAAGATGAAAACCACGATGATGAAATATTTAGAGTGAGTAAAGAAATCGAGGTCCAAAATGAGGAAGGCAAAACTGAAAAACTGCTTGTTAGGGCTGAATCTTTACGTGAAGGAAAATCGCGGCTCGAGGAATTCCGTGAAAAACAAAGACGTGGGAAGCTTACGAGATCGTTGACAAATCCAGATTTTCAACAAAGTGAGAACATGGCGTCTAGCAAGGGGAAAAATGTTAGCGAAAGTCTGGCGGAAATTAGGGAAAGAATACGAGAGAGGAGACGGAAAAAAGGGCAACTTAAGAAATCACAGTCTATGCCAGAGACTGACTCGCCTCCAAAGCAGGATGGTGAGGAAAATACTAATGAATTTTCAGATGATGCTAAGAATAATCTAGGGAAATCAAAGGAAGTTGAACTGAATAAGAAAGGAAGTAAAGGGAGTGAAGAAGAGAAAGGTTCAAATTTAAATAAATCGGAATATCTAGAGATTGAACAAAATACCAAGATGAATGACAATGAAAAAGATGAAAATATGACAGCGATGAGTAGGAGGTGTGAAGATGTGATAGCGAAGGATAACAGGAGTGAAGAGATAATAACAACAAATGATAAGGAAGAGAAAGTCCAAGATACCAGAGATAACGAAGGAGTAGTTATGGATACAGTAAAGCAAATGGGTAAAGATGACTCTGAGGCGAATGGAAGTGATAAAGTAATTTCTGAAGGAAAGAAATTGGAGCTGAAAGAAATATCAAATGAAAAAGACGAAGATCAAAAACAGAAAGTTTCAACAGCTGATGCAAAGACCGACGTTGAAAAAAGCGTCTCCAGTGCAGTTTCAAGCAGCGACCAAAGCAAATCTGAAGTTAAGAAACCGACGAAGAGAGAAAGACGGAAGAGGCAAGAAAGATATCAGCGTTCAAAAACAATGAGTGCAATCATGTATAACGAAATCTCGCTTGAAGCTAGAAGAGAAATACAGCACAAAGGAGATGATGCAAAATCTGGAGACAAAAATGGTGAATCTCTTGCTATACCTTCAGTCTCGGAAATCAAGAAGAGGTTCCTAGAAGCGGATACTGGAAGTTCAAAGATGTCTGATCTTGGTTTGTTTTACTCCGGGAAAACTCCTGCGTCTGGGAAATCTCCGGGCATTGTTAAATTGTCTTCGCGAAGCAAGACTGCGGAAAAAGCTTCAGTGAAAGACGACTCTACTACCAGTAAAGCGAAGAAATCCGAGGCTCGATCTAGAAAAAATCTTTCTCGAAGACATACAGTTGCAATTGGGACTACCCTCACCCAAGATGAGAATATGAATACAAGAAATACTGATTTAATTGGAATGAACAATCAGAATACTGAATCTTTTATTACGGACAAAAAGCAAACGACGGAAACTAAGGCTAAAATTCCACTGGGCCGTAGACATACACTACCCAGTTACAAAACAGAGATCTCTGTACATTGCAACAATGGTCATTCGTCCGTTAATCATGCACAGAAAGACGTCTCAGAGAGTGGAAGTCGATTGCCTGTACGGCGGCATACATTTTGCTCGGGAACCAGTTTTATGGTTAGTCGCCATAAAACTGTAAAACTTCCAGATTCTGTCGAAACTCTCAGAGAAAAATTTTCTAAAGGTGGAGCACCTGTCTTTAATTTAGCAACTTCAAGCAAAGATAGTTCTACCAAAGCTGGGAGTGACGTTGATAGTGATGAAAGAACCCGGAAACGTGTTGTAAGTGACAGCACTGTTAAGCGGATCATTGAAGAAGCTAAGATTTTAAAAGATGTGAATAAGGAGCGTGGATCGTCATTGAGCAGAAGACACACCATTGCAACTCGTCCTAAAAGCGAAGATTCCGAGAAAGACGAACAAGAAAGACATGAAATCCTGGACAAATTTCTTGCAAAAGATGATGAGATTGAGAAATCTCAGAAATCTGAGAAAAAGACAATTACAAAAGATGTCGAATCAAAAACAGTGGAAGATGACCCAATCTCTAAACGTACAAAAAAAGACAAGGAAGAAAAATTGTCTGTTTTAAAATTAAGGAGGTTATTTCATGGTCAAGCTTCTAATACTGAAAAGAAAACCAAGCTCAGAGAACGACGTGCAACGACGATTGGTGGCAGCATAAGTCCAGATATCGTGAAAGAACTTGATATAAAGAACAAAGATAGTAATAACAAATATGTTGATTTATATGTTAATGATACGACATGCGAGGAAGCAAAGGAAGATAAAACAGAGAGAAGGCGGCGAAGTAGCGACTTGAATCCGGACAGTTATTTATCATCGAAACCATTATCCTCTGAAGAAACAGGGAAAGACTCTGTTTTCAGTGACGACAATGCTCAACCAGAAAATAGTTCAAGTAATGTTGAAACATCAGCAGATTCAACGAGTCAACCTGCCTTTACAAGAAGACGAAGTGTTAGCGACTCTGACATGAAAATAGCTAGTGGTGTTTCTGTAAGAGAACAAAATTCATCTCAAAATCAAGTTCAGTTTTCAAGTGATGTTATCGACTTGAAGACACCAACAGAAACAAATCTTTCTGTGTTGGACCCTGCTAGAAGACGAAGCGGAAGTGAATCTGACTTGAGCAGGGCTCATAATGGTTCTGGAAAAGACCAAAACCTTGACGATTATCTTACTACTGCTATAAAGACTTTGACTGAAAGTCCCAAATCACAAAGGACATCTCCTCAGGGTTCTCCTCACAAAGAAACGTTCACTGCCAGTCTTGATCAAAGTGAAGAAAGACATGAAACAAAGCGACATTTAGATGTTGTAAAGTCGAACCTGAGTATGCATTCTTGGTCCACGTCAGATCTTGATAAGCTCATTCATGGCGGTGATGGAGTTCGATCCAGTATGAGTCAAGTGGATATTTCTACAATGGACTTTGATGAAATATCAAGCAGCACGACCAGGTATGTGTCAACAGGATTTTTGGGCATCTCGCCAGATTGAACTGATGTTAAAGGATGCAACTATGGGCAGAGGGTCTTAATTACAGTTTTTAAAGCTGCTCTTGTCCAGGTTAACCCTATAGGAAATGTATAAATTTTTGAAATGGGCTGTACTAAATATTTTGTCATTATTTCAGGTTACAATCACTGACTGAGGGTAGAACAAAAGTTAGACCAAAGCGAACAAGTTCAAAGACGTTGAATCCCATGAAATCTTTGATGGAAAGAACTGATGTGAGAACTCACACAGAACAACCAGAGGTACGAGAAAGCATTATTGGATCAATTTCGATAGAACCAACCACCAGTTAACACCATGTTACTCGTGGCAATTTTGGCTGCAACTTGCAATCCAATTTCTGATACAAAGTCCTGTTATTTAACAAGTATAGTCAGTAATCTCAAAGTGATGTGAGCATGGCATTCTGTTCTGCTGACACTTTCTTTACCAAACTGACTCTCACCAATTAACTTGCTCAGATGAACAAATTCATTTGAGTCATTTGATTTCAGTCATTCGCAACTTCCTGTATTTGGTAATTTCTGCTCACTTTCTGTCTCTTATGCTTGGTCAATTGCCCCAAAACGAAACATTGGTGCATTTAACAGGAAATTTACCAGTTATACGGGAAGCCACCAAACCTCAAACAAGAGATCGAATGGATTGGTTCTTGTGAGCAAATGAATTGGTAGAATATTTTAGGAACATATCCATTGCCACTGACGAGTGTAAGTGATGAACAGTGCTGCCAGAATAAACCGTGGGCTATGCTCAGAATTTTCCTGCGACTATTTGTTAAATGCCAAAGATTTATTTGTCAGAAATTGCGTTGCAAGCTGCAGCAGAAATTGCTTCGTATAAAAAAACATAGTTTGATGCTTATGATGTTGCTCTGAGTGTATATCTACACCGGGTAAGCTTGAAAAATATGCCTGACAACGGGAGGAATCGAACCTACAACCTTTGGAATACTAGCCCAATGCTCTGCCAACTGAGCTACGCGGTCAGGTCAGTTCGAGTATGTCACAGTGATATTTCGGAACTGAGTCTAGTTTCTTCGATATCAATGTAATCTAATAATCATGATTTTTCTGTGTTGGTGTGATGTACTCAGGTGAATCACAAGCATCATTTTCACCTGAGTGCAGTACACCAACACAGAAAAAATCAAAACATAGTCTGTTTTCCAATTCAACCGTATTGGAATTATTTGGCTGACGTTGTTTATATCACTACTACCCAATTCACAACTGTATATAACTCATATACCTACAGTTGTTACTATTGCCAGAGGACCTCGTGTTGTATTTTTCGCAACCGTTCGCATACCTATACATTAACGTGGACATTTATATGGTGACGTCGTTTCGAGTCATTTATATGGAAATTCATCCCATTTTTCGTTTTAGAATAATTGACAAAACAGTATTATTATTATATGGGTATGTTTCTTATAAGTGCATGCACCAAAGCTTGATTTTTATGTTATTAATTTTGTTTTACTTACAGGAAGAAAATAAGCCGGCGTCTGGGTTTGAAAAGGCAAAGAAACGAAGCAATCCCAGGAAGAAACGATCGCAGTTGGAACCCTGTAAGTACAGGGACATTTGACATCGAAAAAATGTTGATTTGGTGTTCTTTGGGATAGCTTTGTGGTGCTCACTCAGTGTGTTATTTCCTCTTTCTTGGGTCGTGTAGTTTAGTTTAGTTTTAGTTTTAACAGCTTTATTGAACGATGTTTAAACGGCAAGAGTGCGAACGGGATTCAAGACCCATGTGAGGCACTCTCTCTCTCTTGAATTTTGTTTACATCTAATATCATTATATTTACGACAATATTATAAATTAGTAAACATATACCAGCTGATTAATATCAAATTAGGACGCTATTGCACCACATTTAAGTTATCATACATAGTACAGATTTGTATAATCATGTTAAAAATTTGAAAGCTGAATCAGGATAAAACAAAACCTGACACGAGGAGCTGGTATATGTTTACATCAGAATTAACTATTTCTATGGCATGAACAGCTACGATATAAAGACCACGTACAGCATATGTCAACATTAAAACTACTGCTTAATAAATTGAAGTATGTTCTTGATAAGAAGGATTTAAACGTTGCTTGATATAGGGTCCTGCAGGGGAGGGGGTGAATTCACAAGGATGCTTTATCTAGTTCTAGTTTTGACACCCGTGTCTGCAGTAGATAACATTTATTACTTCTTCTTTCCAGGGAGACGTCACACGTTAGACCCGGTAGCTTTAGCTGCTCTTGCCAGCCGTGAAGATTTCTCCAGAGTATCTCTGAGAAGGACGAAAGGGCCTGGTAAGGAGAAGGACGAGTACGATGGAAGCTTGCCAGTGATGTTGATTCAAATAAAAGGTAAACTGAACGTCTTTCTGGGAAGACTTACTGAAGGACAAGTGTCCCCTTCCCCGGATAATTCTCTCCATTACATAGAATTTCTAATATAGAGGGTTAACATTTTTCCTATGGGAATGCCCTTTTGTGATAGGCTGACACGTTCGATGTACCCTCGATGTATCTTCAGTAAATACCGTTGGCGTTGAGTGCTTACATGCAGGAATGGCGACCCGAGCTGCTTGTACGTGCAAAGTACGGCGACCCATGTCGAACCTGCGAGGCTGTGTCGCATAATACGACATGACTCGCTGTGTTTTGTGCCTTACGAAACTAATCAAAACTTGCCAAACTTATTGACTCCGACGCCGCTCTTCTGTCGTACTTAATCGTTGTATTAAGTTCAGTCACTTCAGTGAATGAAAAATTCACTTGAAAGATGTTATACTCATTTGTATCCACCAAACCCAATATTCATAAAAAGTTCACCGTCTAAAAAGATACCATAATGTTTGTGATGTTGTCTCTAAGTCAATGCTCCACCAACTGAGCTACTCAGTTGACAGAGCATTGGTGTAGTAAACCAAAAGTCGCGGGTTTGATTCAAGCAAACTTTTTAACTTGCCCGGTGTGGACACACTCGGAGACAACATCACAAACATGTTTGAAACATTTAACTTCACCTGAGTGCATAACACGAGAAACAGAAGCAAGCATAAGATATATATCTCAAGATGCAAACATGTTGGACATTGCTGAGTTTTGCATTTATAAAGATGTCACTGATAAGACTGATAATTATTTCTGTTTGTTAATGTTTAGGTCGCCGTCAGGTACAAACACGTCTTGTAGAGCCAAGTTTATCTTCGCTGAATACTGGAGATTGTTTCATCTTGGTAACGACAAAAGAATTGTTTTGTTGGATTGGAAAGCATGCCAATACTATTGAGAAAGCCAAGGTGGGTAACCGATCCTGGAATTTTCCTAAAATCTCTCCATAGTCTAAGCAAGCATCAGGCTCTATTTGTAAAAAGCACAATTAAACCTTCATCTGGTCACTCTTCACCCTAAGGTCCCTAGGTAAAGTTTATATTCAGTATCCAATCAAAATGTCCCGAGAGAAATGTCAATTGCACGCAAAACTACAGTCTAGTTATAATTTTATATTTGTATTGATATTTAGGCTGTTGAAATTTCATCTAAGATCCAGAAGCGTGGTGACATGAACTGCAAGACTGGAGATGTATTGTATATCGACGAAACAAAGCAAGGAAACACTTTAGCGTACAGAAAGTTTTGTAAAATATTGGAGGGTGAGGCAGATTTCCCCATTGAAGGTAAGTCATACAATGCCAGTATACGTTTTATCTTCTTCATTGACATTCAATTCTTTCTTTTTACAAACTGTGCTGATTGCTATTATTTATTGCCTTTCAGATGCAAAGATGTGTCCTGACGACGAGTTCTATGAACGAGAAGTGATCTCTACGAACAAAGTGTATAAAATGCAGGAAGGTGAACCGCCACATTTGATTCCTGTCACGGAGCTGTGTGGTTATATGCCAAGGATTGGAATATTGAATACAAAAGAGGTAGCTACGGTTTGTTGCTAAGCAATCCAGTAGCGCCGGGTAGCGGCTTCTTGGACAGCCTCCACCCCATCGAATAAATCACTAAAAATAACTAATTAATTAAATAAAGATAACATGGTTAATTAAAGATAACATGGTTAGGAAGGCCGATGAATTTCAGTGTGCTTCACGATCGAACACCAACTGATAGTGAAAAGGATTTCATCGGTGTGTACAAATGGATGGATTTACTGGGGGTACAGGTAAAGGGGTGGAAAATTCCTTATCGGATCCATTATTTTTTTGGATTTGGAAAGGCAAATACCAAAAACAAAAATTAAATAGAGACAAAACCAGGTGGTTACATGATTGTGAAATTGTCAAGCGAGACTACAGACTAGTGTTTCGCTGCCGTAACGTTCACACTTATATTTTTTACAATGCATCGAGCATTGAAGATCCCCCCTGCCCTTCTTTATGACTAGCCACGCGTTTAATGGTAGATTTTTCCTTCAGGTTTTTGTATTCGATTTTGGTTCGGAGTTGTACGTGTGGACTGGTCAGCAATCATTATCGAACAAGAGAAAAGTGGCATTTCACTTGGCAGAAATGCTATACAAACAACAGTTTGATTCTTCCGATGGGGTAGTTAGCCCTATCGATCCAAGACGTGCTATGAAAAGGTCACAGTCCTCACAACCCATATATCATGACGCCGAGGGCAAGAAATGTGGCCGACCCAAGTGGACGTTGTTCGCAAAACTTCATGAAAAAGCTGAGACGTTGTTGTTTCAAGAGAAATTCTTTGATTGGCCTGATCCGACCAAAATTATCAGGATGAAAGGGCATATTAGCAGTGGGGAAATTCCTGAGGTACAGTATATATCAGCTTAAACGACAATGGCAACAAACAATTATCTATAAAATCACAAGATTGTTGAGGATATGCATACACTCATGGGGTAACGCAAAATTTTTTTTGTGAGGATTGGACCAGATTTCAATTTGAGTCCACGCAATATTCGCGATCAAAATGCAAGGACTTGAAATGTAGTCCAGTCCGAATTGGAGGATTTGAAATGACATTTTATACGATTAAATCACTGTTTAAGGTGAGGACGTGAGGTGAATTAATTTGGATCCAGTCCTGGGACCTTCATTAGGTGGTATCCAGTATTATCGTGTGAGCAAAATAAAGTGCCATGAGTTAATTTACTTAAAGAACATTTCAAATTGTCAAAACATGTCAAAACATTTCAAGCGTATAGTGTAACTTTCTTTTCCAGATTTTTGTTCCTTTGCTCCGCTTATTTCAGTATGCTTGATATTTAAAATTGCATCATACCACCACAGATAATAGAATATGTTCAATGTTTGGGGCCATGTACGATATAATACTGATTTCATTTTGTGTTTGCTCGTCAATTATCAATGATTTTGCATTAGCTCTCCGCTGTATTCCAACATTTACTTATGCTCCAATCAATCTATATATTTCTTGTTGTTTAACCCAAATTTTCTCCTTTCTATAGCGCCCCCCACCGGTGGAACTCAAACCATGTGACCCAACTGACATGCAAAAACCCGCAAGCGATCTGGAGCCCGCCATTTTAGAGGCAACCAACCTGGGTCGTGGTTTGGGAACTCCTAATATTGAAGTGAACGGCGAGGTTAAAGAGGGAGACCTGGTAACTACTCTTGGGATGACAGTTTGGCTGGTGACGCAAAATAAACATTTTGTTCTACCCAAACCAAGTGAAGGACATTTTCATTCAGGTTTGTAAAATTCGCATCAATTGGTAAAATAGACAAGCGTGAAGAGGCGTCAGTGGCGTACTCGTCAGCGCAAGCACCTTATACACCAACCTCGTACCCAGGGTATTACCTTCACCCTGGGTACGAGGTTGCTTATACACCTCTGAGATCGTGGGTTTGTCTAGTTCCTTCGATATCAGTAGGCTTTAACGATCTTGATTTTTTTGCTTCTGGTGTTGTGCATATATTTACCTGGAAGGAACTAGAGAGGGTACCGAAATATCATCCACTCTAACCAACTTGACCTCGTAGCTCAGTTGATGGACAATTGGACTAGCAAACCAAAGGTTGCGGGCTCAAGCAAACTTTTCAGCTTGCCCGGTGTGGACACACTCGGAGACAACATCACAAACATATAACTTCACTTGCATAACAAAAATGTTTACAACTGTTGAAAAATACTATCCGGTGGATATCTGACCTTCGTACAACCGACCCCACTAGGTCCACATATTTGATACGAAATTACTTACCCCATGCAATTCTCTGATTTTCTAGGGGATGGCTACGTCATTCGCTGGGTGTATTTCGTGGCCAAGAACCGGACAGTGCGCGACAGACGTGGTCGTATCCGTCCGCTGACTGGTAGACAACGCTGTGCATATTTCTTCTGGCAAGGCAATGAATGTAGTGTGAATGAGAAAGGAGCAGCGGCCATCATGGCAGTGGAATTGGATGAGGAGCATGGACCACAGGTAGACTGGCACTAGCTTGTTGTCATAGTGATACGTAATGTCATTAGACTTGATGCAGCGACGATGGTCCGCATCAAAACCTCAGTCAAAATGAAAGTTAATGAAAGTTGGCAAGTGAGAGTTTTGCATGAGAATTCTGCGACTCTTCAACGAGAACTAGAGTTGTTATGATAGTTGACAAGAGTTCGCAGTCAAACGCGGGGGCTGCGTTCTGAGAAGCCTGTGAGCCCAACCGCTGTACCTTCCCATAAATATTTTCCACCTCCGCCTGCATTTCCAACAAATTCCGGCCTTGTCCGCCTCTGGTATATGAGGCACAAACGTTATTTTAATACATTTTTTCATTCCCAGATACGAGTAGTAGAAGGAAAAGAGCCTCCTCATTTCTTGAAGTTATTTGATGGAGCCATGGTCATTCATTCCGGAAAGTATGTTTAGTTTTTGTTTCTCTCCAATCTTGAAAAAATAACTTTTTATTGAATTAAGGATTTTGTCTACCAGCCAATAAATAATTGTGGTTCTTATATTTTTTTCTCAGACGAGTACGCGTTAGCGAAGAGCAAGATGACTTTTCTGGTATGTATATGCAACAAACAATTACATCATTAATAAACCATTCCTTACTTTACTGTAAATGTTACTTCAGTATGCGATGGACGACATTAGAGAGTTTGGTGAATGCAACCGGGAAACGAGCTTGCCACAAAGTTGGAATAATAATTTTACGCTTTTGAAAGACTATTAGTGAAGCAAATTTCATGAAATTGCAACCAAAAAGGTTATACGAATTGAGATTAGTACCAACAATTTTTTGTTGAGAAATTGCTGAGAATCTAAAATTTACCATTCAAAAGCAGGGTGCGCTATGTCTTGTAGTTTGGCCACTTGGCCGCTAAAACAATTCCCTTCACTTGTGAAAGCTTTATTCACTTATCCCCGTGTAAACTGACAACTAATTTTCATTCTTTTGCCCTCCGATGCAGATAAATCTACAGTTCGAATGTATTGTATTCGTAACGAAGATATCTCGGAAGGATGTCTAGTTCAAGTGAAAAGAAGGTAGTCCACGTTTCTAATTTCGATTCAGAAGTTGTAGTTCAAGTTTGGAAACAAGGAATGGGTAACTTTCCAAACGGATATTTTCATGAAATGCAACGGAGCCTAGAATTTCTACTTGACCATCATTTCTGTATAATTCACAAATTTACCATGAAATTCATGAAGTATGATATATATTTTGGAAGAACATAGTGGTTGTTTTGAATATAGTAGAGTTCTTTAAATAGTTTGTAAATGAATCACACTAACAAATCTTTGTGAATGTTTATTGTAGTACTTCGTCATTGCGATCAAGATCATCATTTGTCATCGTTGATTCTGAAAAAGGCAACGTCTTCGTGTGGCATGGTTGTAAGACGAATGAATATCACAGAAAGTCTGCAGAGAAAGCTGCTAACTTTATTAAAGAAAAGTAGGTCGAAATGTAGTAACACGTTCACACTACGCTGGAGCGAAATTGTTTGAAAACATCACTTTCGCCGTAACAATTTGAGCACGGTTTCTAAACGGAGCGAGGTGAAAACGGAGCGCTTGGCGGCTTCGTGTGAACACAAACGCCGTTAATTTTTTGCACCGCTTACAAACCAAGCATCTTGGGTCTCAAAACAGTAAAGTCAAATGCTTTTCGCTTAAATTTCTTCGCTTTATTTGAAATATTTTGGGTCGCGTGAGTCACAGAATAAGAAGGTACAGCAGAAGTGTAACTCAAGCAAGTATTTGTCCGCGTTTTTACAAGCGATTCGTCATTAATCACGCCATCCTGGCTAGTACAGCCGGCACTTTGCACCTACCAAAACCTGATAAAAACTTCCGGTTGTACTAGCCAGGATGGCGTGAGCAAGTTAAAATTTTCGTGGACGTAAAACAATAAGGGAACCGACTGGAGTTACACTTCTGCTGTACCGTCTTATTCTTGTGCGTGAGTGCTAATTTAATTTGTAAACAAACTGTAACGACGTATTGTGAACACATGCACGTAAAGTCTGCTGGCATTATTTCACTCCGGTGTAGTGCAAATGCGGTCTAAATTGTACTACTGCTCTCTGCTGAGTTAAGCCTGCTTCTGTATGTCGGTTGCTGGATCATTGCACAACTCAGATATGATGTGTTTGTAAACTCGTGTAAGCAGAGTTGTGGTTGGTCTGCTCCTGTGCTTGTAGGGTTTTCTTTCTCAGAAAAAAAACTAATCCTACCACCTAAGCTCGTTTGAGCTGTGTCCCTTGAATCTCCGTGAGCAACTACCGGATGATTTGGCACCCCATAACTGTATTTTATTTGACATTCCTAGACATCCTGTAGAGATGAATCTGTCAGAAGAAGTATCTGTGTCTGTTACAGAGATAGAGGAAGGTCTGGAATCAGACGTATTTTGGTCGACTGTGAGTGGAAAGAAGAATAGCTACTTGTCATTATTAAACGGTAAGAAGGCTTGGTTTTGATCGGTTTTATCTCAGAAGATTGTCCAAGTTTAATAAGTCCAGGATGGTTTCCAGGCATGTATAGATGGGCTCTGATTAGATGGAAATTTCGAACGAAAGTTTCTATACAACCTAGACCCTTCCTGCTATAGAGAGCTAAAGTTTTTTCCGCAGCTGCTTCGAGTTAGGTCTAAAATTGTATACTAATTGACGTCAGATCACGTAAGTAGCTCCTAAGAATAAGTTAGAAATAATCTATGAAATAATCGTCTTTCTTCATTTCCAGATCCTTTGAACTACGATTTCTGTCCGCGTTTGTTTCACATGACCAGTTCCACGGGACAGTTTACATCCACAGAAATCCTCAGTTCCTCCAGATATCTCGGTAGAACATGCCCGTTCCCAGTCCTTCAAGATGATCTGCACTCCGCGTCCCAACCAGGTGAGATATGAACATCAGAATGTAGACTACATCACAGATGATAGATTGTACCAGATGTCTCACTGTGTATCTATCCCTATGATTGTCGTGTTCGCGATTTTCGCGAGGCTATCACGCCAGATGACGCGTGCGACACTTACTGCCAAAATGGCGCTTACTGCCAAAATGCGTGATTGCTCACGTTTCATGGCGTGGATTACACTTACTGCGAAAATGGCGGCCAACTCGTGCTTATAAAAAATCGCGGACACAATTTAGGCTGAGTGAGACATCTGGTATAATCTATCATCTGTGACTGCACTGATCTCTCTCTCTCTCTCTCTCTCTCTCTCTCTCTCTCTCTCTCTCTCTCTCTCTTTATATATATATATATATATATATATATATATATATATATATATATATATATATATATATATATATATATATATATATATATATCTCTCTCTCTCTCTCTATATATATAT